TATTTGAAGTCATTGTATGTGTGGGTTGACGCTTGACTTGCATGTAGTATCCCAACCCTGTTAATTGCTACAACTCCTTGCTATCTAAGGGTTCCAATTGAGTGCGACCTAGGCCTTGAAAAGTTTTTTCTCACCTCCATTGCGAGACGTCATGGTCAAGTTCCGATAGTCAGTTTCCACAGGACCCAAGGTTTCTAACCATTGAACCTCCAACACTACTGGACATGCTGCCGTAGGAAGACCATAAAAATCGGCTCGGATAAGGTGGTTCTGAATATTAAGTGTAAGGTTCTGACAGCGTCCCATACATTCTATCTTCTCACAATTGCCCACCATCACCTAAAAATTTGTATCATGAGTAATGGGAAAACTCAACCTGTTAACAATGTTTTAATCAATAAAGTTCTATGATGGTTATTTATGTTCAAAAGAAATGGGTGAAAATGAAAAAATGGGAAATCACCGTATGTATATATTTGTGTTGTTACATCCATGGTTCACGTTATCACTAGTGAATGCGGACTTAGCTAGCATTTTGAACCCTAAGAAATCTATTTAGATTACAATCAAGATCTCAAAGTATATAATTTGTCTAATTTTGGTTCTTAATATTTCAATTGCATAATTTTGATTATTGAGATATTAAATATGTTTCTATGTAATCTCTCAAGCAGACTTCTTGGAAACGGGTGTAATCTTTCATAGCACTAGCCCTTTTTCTTCTCCTGTGCTCCTTGTTAAAAAATCAGATGGCATGTGGAGGTTTTGCGTTGACTACAGAGCCCTAAATAGCGTCACCATTAAAGATAAGTACCCAATTTCGGTTATCGACGAATTGCTTATGTTCCGGGTACCATCAAATCTGTTTCCATGAAGATGATGTCTATAAGACGACCTTCCGCACTCATGAGGGCCATTATGAGTTCGTGGTCTTGCCATTTGAATTAACGAATGCCCCAACTACTTTCCAAAGTCTCATGAACGACTTATTTATGCCACATTTACGTAAGTTTGTTCTAGTTTTTTTTGACGATATTCTTGTGTACAATAGAACTTGGGAAGATCACATTAATCATCTTCAGTGTGTGCTACAAATATTGTTGGCAAATCAAATAGTGGTTAAGCGGTCCTAGTGTGAGTTTGGTACTTCGCAAGTAAACTATCTTGGGCATGTGATTACTGCTAAAGGAGTTTCAGTTGATCTGGAAAAAATTCAACCAATTAGAGAGTGGCCCAAACCATCGTGGCCATGCATGCTTTTCTCGGCCTTGTAGGGTACTACCAAAACTTTATAAGTGGGTTTGGCACCATGGCAGCCCCATTAACCCGACTCACCACCAAGGAAGGTTTTTGTTGGACTCTTGAAGCTGACATGGCTTTTAATAAACTCAAGCAGGCCCTCACCACTGAACCCATTCTGCGCCTGCCCAATTTTTCTCAACCATTTGTGATTGAATGTGACGCTTGCGGAACGTGAATTGGTGCAATTCTGATGCAAGATAACCAGCCCATTGGTTTTTATAGTGAGGCGTTGAAGGTAGCTGCCCTGGCGCTTTCGACATATGATAAAGAGATGTTGGCCATCGTCAAAGCCATTCACAAGTGGAAACCTTATCTCCTTGGCAAGCCTTTCATTGTTCGAACGGATCAACGTAGTCTCAAGTATCTTCTGGAGCAACGAATCACCACGCCAACTCAACTCTGGTGGTTGCTTAAAATTCTAGGATATGACTATGAGATACAATACAAGCAGGGGGCTGAAAATAAAGGTGCTGATGCCTTATCCAGGATAGTAGAATTCACATTTTGTGCAATCTCTTTTCCACATCCAACATGGTAAAGTTTGATTCTTTTTACTCCCAATTCAAAACTAACCAAACTCAAACACCTCATCTTTATAATTATCGTGATGGGGGTTTGGTTTAAAAGGGATAAAATCTTGTTGAGTCCAAAGTCTTCTGTGATACCATCCATGCTCACGGAACACCACTCATCTCCAACAGGGGTCACTTCAGGTTCCATAAAATGGTGAGTTGTATACGAGATGTATGTGTATGGCCAAGTATGCGTACTGCTGTAAAAAAATTTATCCACAAATGTGCAACTTGTCAAAGCTGTAAAACTAAGACAATGAAGCCTGGCGGTCTCCTCCAGCCCTTGGAAATTCCTGAAAAAATTTGGAGTGATATCTCCATGGATTTTATTGAAGGGTTACCTTCCTCTCAAGGGCATTCAGTCGTAATGGTTGTTGTAGATCGCTTCACCAAATATGCTCATTTTGTTCCGTTGCGACATCCATATACTACATTCCATGAACAACATTGTAAAGTTACACGGCATCCCAAGGATGATCGTAATTGACCGTGACAAAGTCTTTGTTAGTGTTTTTTGGAAGAATTTATTTCAAAAGCAGGGTACCTCTTTGTGTATGAGTTTGGGATACCATCCTCAAACAAATGGCCAATCAGAAGTGGTCAATCGAACGCTTGAACAGTACCTCCATCGCTTCGCGCATGACCAGCCTAGGAAGTGGATCGATTGGCTCCCATGGGCTGAATACAATTATAACACTGCCAAACATTCTGTAATTGGGTTCACTCCTTTTGAACTTGTTATGGGGTTCCTCCTAATATTCTGACTTATGTGCCTGGAACCACCAAAGTCAAAACTGTGGACGAATTCTTGTAAAACAAGGAATTGATTTTGAAGGATTTAGGCCAAAACTTGTTAGTGGCCAGGAACCGAATGAAGATACAAGCAGACCAGCACCGCCGCGAGGTCCAATTCAGTGTGGGTGATTACGTCTACGTTCGCCTACAGCCATACCGACAACATTCAGTTTTGTTTTGAAGCAATCTCAAATTATCACCCAGGTTTTTTGGGCTTTTCAAGGTGCTCGCACGCATCGGCCTAGTTGCTTATTGCCTGGAGTTGCCTGAGGGTTCTCAGATACATGACGTCTTCCATGTAAGTCTGCTCCAGCGTCATCTTGGAGCCACGTCTCAAGGCTTGCTGCAATTACCTCCAACCATAGAGGATGTTGTGTTACTTTCACAACCTGAGGCAATCCTTGATAGTAGGGTCATACAAAAGGGTCGATATCGACCAAGAGAGGAAATCCTTGTCAAGTGGGTAGGTGCCCCTCTTGAAGACACAACTTGGGAGAACAAATGGAGGCTTCTGCGCAGTTATCCAACTTTTTGTCCTTGAGGTCAAGGACCGTTTTAGAGGGGTGGAATGATGGACTCGCAATCAGCATGCAATAGACTTGGAGATTTGCATAGACTTGGTCTTAGTTGAGTTACCAATTAAGTTGATTCAGTCAATAAGAATGGTTAGTAATGGCAACTATGTAGGAGAATTGTTAGGAGTTGATTCAGTCAGTAAGATAGGTTAGTAGTGGCAGCTAAGTAGGAGAATTGTTAGGAGTTGTTTTGCAACGGTAATTTTGTTGGCCTATTTAAGAGGTCTTGTTTTTGTTGGAAGGGATATGTGAAATAATATTGAATCCTTCCTTACCTAAACTTCTCTTTCTTCTCATTCCCTGAAAATTTCAAACCAGCACAAATTCACTTAACAGATTGCCATCAACTAGCGTCATTTTCACAGTTTCGTTGGTCCCAAACCCAATCTTAGCTTACTTCCTTGTTCACACCATTTTCTTTGATCCAAATTCAGAATGTTGTGCCACCAAGGGTGCCAGAAGATTGTTGTTCTAACATCTGTAGTTACTGACATAGGAGACTTATTCGACAAATAGTTTTCAGATGGGTTCAATTGTCATATTTCATGACTTACTTGGATGAATTTTAAATCAATAAGCACACAAAATCGTGAATTAACAACCTTTATTAATCCAATTGATAGGTTTTCAGTTACAAAAAGATTAAATTAATAATCTTGATTATAGAAGTAATTACTCTCTAAAAACTAACCTAACACTATTCCTAAGGATGCCCAGATCTTGGGTCTTGTGAAGGTTTGAATGTATTCTTCACTTCTTTCTTATTCGTCTTTTATATCCACTCCCTTCGACAATTTTTCTCTCCATCGATGGTTAATTGTCTTGTAACTCCGAGATAGTTTTCTTTCCTTTCAAACAAAGCTATGACTGATCACTTCCTGCCTCATCTTCTTATTATAACACATGGCAATTCTTTAATGTCTGCAAACTACACATGCATTGAATGTTCGTATAATTTTATATTTTAAATCCAAACAAGCATTAAAAAAAATCGTTAATCTAGACTCTGACAATGACTTTGACCTTCTAACTCCTTTCCTCTCAACTTCAAGTACTACGTACTAAGCAATTAGGATGTTTTGTTTACTTTCACGCAATATTATATTTCTCCTAATACTTTATAAACTTATATATAATTCCCTCTGAGGGATTGATTTGCATCAGACAATTCTTGTGAAAACTAACTCTCAATGATCAAAAGTCAATATTATTAATGAAATAACAAAAAAGATAACTTTTATATGCTTATACATGTTATACTTTCTACTTCTTATGTCTAATACAAATCAATCCCTTTTTCGATATTCCTATCATGCACGAAGTAAAATTTTCAATTTGTATGAATTTTTAGGGAGACCAACCGTTGAAAATAGATGAAAGTATTAATGTATTTAATAATAAATTGTTAACCTCGATACCTATTTCACCTTAGTCCTAAACTTTGAGGATGTAAGTGTCAATTTTAAACTATATGGAGGTAAAATAGATTTTTAAATTTATTTTTTAAATCCATACAGTATTAGTCTCATCCATAATATATAACTAATGCTTTTGAAATGTATTGAATACCTCCTTCCAACCTAATGCAATTGTACAAAACACTAGAGTCAAAAATCCAAAAGAGTAAAAGGAGAACCATCAATAAGAGAACCAATAAATTCTACCTCAAATATCCATTCTTCATTATAAAGCATGAAAAATAAAAATTCTCGCAAAGCGTCAATGACATTCAGTCATTCACAGAAAATCTCTATTCTTACACAAGAAAGTTTCTCTCTCCTACCATGTTATGCTGGTCAACAACAATTGAAATCACCCCATTCACAGCTTTCTCAGTCTCAACAATTACTACATTACCTGACACATTTGTCACTGCATTTGCTGGAAACCCAACCAACCCACCTTGTGTGTAAAATGAGTACTGAACATGATTTATCCTGTTTGGGAATATCAACACTGATGAAAAATCAGCCACCCACTGCGTACTATTTCCAGCAACGGTTGATTTTCCGACCGTTGATTTCAAGCTCATGCCATTCACATTGTTCTGATCAATCACCACCTGATCAATGCTTGTGAATTGCCCATCTAGTTGTACAATTGGTACCATGTTTTTTGGATTCCCACTGAACATATTATTGATGATATTCAGCCCCGAGATTTGACCTTTAATCGACTTTAAAACAATGTTTCCATCTCCTAGGAAATACCCATTACTAACATGAGCTTGAGAAGGGTCTTCAATCACTATAGCATTGAAATCTAGGTAGCAATTATCTATTCTATTCTGTGCTGCTTTCACTAAAATCCCAACACCACCAAAATATGTTGCCTTATTGTAACAATGCACACCTGTGATCATGTTAGCCTCACCCCTTAGGATAACTCCGGTAGCTGCCGAGAAGATGGCAACGTCGGTGATTGCATTATCGTTACTAGCAAGATCGATTGCAGTCCCGGAAAAATCTTTCTCACCTTTATCCCCACCAACAGTAGAGTGTTGTCCGAGGAAGCAGCTCGACATGAAGGTCTCGTGGCCTCTTTCGACTAAAATTCCATCAGTCGTGAAGTGGATAAAGAAGCAATTGTTTATCCGAATTCGAGCTGAATCGATCACGAAAAGTCCTCCTCCCCGATAATTTGAATCGAAGAGGATGTCCCGGAAGGTAATGTCCTCATAGTAGATTCCATCTGTTTGGTCTTTCGTATCAGAGAGATTATCACGATGGACAGTGGCTGTTTCCGCAACTTTCTCAGAATTTGGTGACCACAATTCAATTAGATGTCTATCTTCTGGGAATGTGTCTGATGCTCGTAAAGTTCCACCTTGTACCTAAAAGGCCAAGCCAACGTTGGTCAGCAAAGTGTTGCGCACGCTGAGACTGAGAGAGAGTAAATGCTATTCTTAATACAAAATTCGTTCTACTAATTTGAAGTTGTTCAATGTCCACGAAGTTAACAGTTGCCAATCTGCCATCTAAAATTAAATTAAATGGACAAATTATATTTAAACTAATCCCTCGTACTTGTCCCTTAATTACCTAGGCCTCGCATATTTTAAATATTACTCCTAAATCCCTTAAGAATTCAAATATCACTAAAAATATTCTCCCAATTGAATATTTAAATAATTATGTTCAAGTGATGTATTGCATTGGATATAAAAAATATTATATAAATAAGTGCATTATATTAGGTATTCAAATGATAAACTTGATTTTAAACTTTAGAATATAACGGACTAACAAAGTAAACGATAATATAAAAATTATAATTTTTTATTCAGATAAAATCGTACTTTTTAATGATTATATTAACAAATATCAAAGACAAGGGGTTATGTGTTACATGTGCACAAATATCACGAGGTGTAAGAGTAATATTTTAAATGTGAGAAAATTTACATGATTAAGTGACAAATTTGAGGAGTCTAAGAGTAATTTACTCAACTAATTTTAGATGTCAAATTGACAAATATTAATTTTAAGTGTGCATTGATACAAATTTATATTTTTGAGATACAAATTAAGATTTTTGATATTTAAAGATGGAAATTAAAATTTAAACGTTTCTAAATACAGTATGAGTTTAACCCAACAATTAAAGAAGAATCGTCGTGAATGCATTGGCATGCATGAAAGAGAAGAGTGGGGGTGGGGGGCACGTGTTCTAACGTAGACAAGTGACCCACATTCTCGGCAATAGAAAAAAAAAGCAGCATAAATAACAACAAAAGTTTTAAAGCTCACCAGACACAGGAACTCGGCTTCTAAGGCAAAAAAGTGTGTTAATGTGCGCCATGTGACTCCTCATCACTCTGTTTGGAGTTATTTACCGCAATGTGACAAATTTCAAACTTTATTACCGATATAAGATATTTTTGAATTTATTTATTAAATTATGATATTTTTTAAACATGAATTCAATAATCTCATACTTGTTAAAAAGTGGATTCAATAATTTTACTTTTACTAAAAAACGGTGTCAACAATCCTGTTTAGTTTTCAATATTATGACTATAACTAAATATTGTGGGTAATAGTTATGATAGGTTTGTTTATTAAACACACTTTCAATTTACGATCATTATGACCATTAATCACATTTTTTATTTAAAATTGGGGTTATTGATTCCATTTTCAAAAAAAAGCAGGATTATTAACTTGACTTTTAAAAAATGTCATAGTCATAGTTTTATAATTAGGTTCAAAAGTATTGTATATCGATAATAAAATTAAAAACTTGCCCGGTAAATAACTCACTGTTTGGGTGTGTGTGTGCGCGTGAGAGAGAGAGAGAGAGAGAGAGAGACCACAAGATTGCCCGCACCAGGTGGGAACCTAATGGGATTGCTGATTTTGTAGTTGCCACCTTGCAAATCAATAAGGACACCACCCAAATCGTTGACTCCAGGCAACAATTCAAGGCCACCTTGCACTTTGAAAGCATCACCAACAGCACTGAGTATGGAATCACTGCTATCTTGCGCCCCAGTTGGGTCTGCTCCATAACCAATTGGATAGAAAACTCTACCAACACTCTGAATTAGAAAAAAAAATGTATGTCCACAAAAGCCGTTAAACCATAAACTCACATACACAATGCAGAAATTTCATTTGTGTCCACTTTTTCGCGGAAGTGAAATTTTCTCCTAAACTTAGACAGGAAATGCTACGACTCCCATCGGTAGAATTATACTTTTTCTAAATTTTCCGTAAAAAAATTGGATAGAAATTAACGGTGTGACAATGTGAAGCTCAAACTAATAGTTTAAGAGATAATGTGAGAAAGTTAATACTTTAGGAGGTCTTAACTATAATTTTTCCAAAAGAAATGACTAAGTCACCTTTTGGGCGTTTGAAGTTGCCGGAGATGGTGTCGGAGTTACTGCAATAGGATTGAAAGAGTTTTTCTCTTGAAGTTTTGCTTGGAATTCATAGAACTTCAGTTGTCTAAATGAGCATTTTGTTTCTTTCACCAGCAACAATAGAAGGAAAAACAATGCTGATGAAGACGGCGACATTGTTTTTATGTTGCTGGTAGATAACTACAATACCTTCAGTCCGTAATGGCCACAGAGTTAGATTGCCCTTCCAACCAACGCAGGGGAGAGAGAGAGAGAGAGAGAGAGAGGGTTTATGTGGGTGGATTTGAGTCTTTCTGTTTTGTCTTTGTAATAAAATGAAACTTGGTCCGAGGTCTTACTCTTGGTGTTAGTGTTGCTGCAATTAAAGCTTTTGACCCCAGACAGCATATTAAACCACATATTTACGAGTCCCAGCTGTTGTGCACGGTTTATTCAAGTCTTGGACTGTGGACAATGAATAACAAGTACGAAAATAAAGTATTGTTAAGGAATGAAAAATGGTATACTTACAAAATTATAACTCAAATACATGACATTCCTTAAATAAATGAATTTCGTCAATTTTTTTCCACTCATCCTAAACGGATCCGGATCCGGATCCCCTTTCAAAATTTGTCAATACGGTTTAAGTTCAATTGTCGGGTGCTATATTCATTATATATTGGATCGTGTTTTAACAACTTACAGAACACATAATTAAGTGAACAATGATGATTGAATTAATTGAGGAAATAATGCAGCGACAACCAGAAGACATAAAAAAATTACCGTCTTTAAGTGTAAGGAAAGGACAAAGCCTGAATTCATAGGAAGAATAAGAGAAATTTTTTGGAAAAGTATATTATTCACTAAATAATTTTTATTGCATAAGAATGAATATATATATAGGAAGGATCAAAACTTTAAATTGAATAATAGAAACAAAATTCCTAATTATACGAAATTTATCAAAAATAAAAATTACAATTTAAGTAATCAATATAAAAACACATGTCGTCTCAAGTCTAACAAAAATTAATGGCATTGAATTCGAATTCTTCTATGATTTCTTTTCAATTTTCAAATTTTTTCTTAAAACAATAAAAATGGAGTTTTGAATGACTAAAGGATAAAATTTAGCACAAAATTGAAGGAGCTTATGATAAAGCGACGAGTTTTTGATACTTTGCCCGAGCTGAATCAAATTCCATTGGCCCCACTGAATTTCAGAGTTTGACAAATTTTGTGTATACTATTACCTTTTGATATTCATTGCGTTTTGAAGGTGGGACTGTTCGCACGATCAAAGTAATATGTTGTCAACTGTTTTACATCACTTCCTACCTTTTAAAGGGACCGATCTTCTTCTAGTTAAGCTTTTTGTAAGTCCCAAAACTCCCAACTGGTAACCTCTCCTTGCACTGATGAATGAAGAACTTGTCCCCAATTTGAAAATCTTATGCCAACAGTGCTTATCTACTGTCCTCTTATACTTAGCTGTCAATGCCTCCAACTGCTGTCTGAGCTCAGCATGCACATCTCTGAGCCTCTCTAGCACGTGTTTAGCCATAATGTTCATCTATTCATTACATCTGTCGGAGCACTTTGTGGAGTTCTCCTTCAACTGCTATCTAAGGAGATTCGCTTTCCCCTCGGACTTAATCTTTCTAGCTTTAACCATGTCAGCAGCTTGGCACGCCTCAACAATATCGAATTCCTTTTCTTCAAGATGGTCCTTTAAGGCAAGCTTCGAAGATTCTTTGATGTTCAACTGGACAATTAGCCTCTTGGTAAACTCATTGGCTGACCTAGCTTCGACAGCTCTATCGCTTCTATATTTCTCCTGTGAAATTATCAGCACAGTAAAAGAACTTATGTGGGTAGCCGCATGCACAAAAAAAGGAAGAGAATCATTCAGAAAATCTTTTGTTCTAGCAATCAATGAGAAAAGGGAAATATACAATGATATCTCGATAAGGGCATGGAAAGTAGCCTTGACCATATCCCAAGCGATACACTTCGTTGCCTCTTGAAGGTCAAAGCTGGAAAGCATGAGCAAGATCTGGCAGACAGCTAAGGAAGAATTGTGCAACAAAGAATCCAACTCCTCAACAGGTTCACTCAAGGTAGTCTCAACTCGCACCTGGGCATCCGCCTTAGAACTTGGAAGAGCGTTACCCGCAGGAGCCTTCGCGATCTCTTCAGGTGAGTTTAGAAGAGGGTCATCCATAGCTCGGGCCGGGTTATTGGGCTGAACAGCCATATTGCATGTAACATCCTTGGATATAAGGGGATTAGACACCCAACCTCGTGGACATCACTGTCAGGCGTTTTTCAAGCCCTTCACCAGACGTCTGAGCTTCTTGGGAGGTTTAGGAGCTCCTTTTTCCTTAGCTTCCCGCCTAGTCTCCATCAACTGCTTCAGAACATTTTTGCTAGGAGCCATCTCCATAGGGACTGCAAGGAATAGTGTAAACATCAAATGCAAAATTGTTTTGAGTAATTGTGTGTTTGCAGATAATTAGGTGTAAGAAGGAGGGTTTTAAAGTCATTTGGATGTATTGGAATGCTTAGGGAAGTCGTGGAGATGAGCGGACTTGAACCAGGTGCATACCAACAAAAACGAAGAAAAGCAACAGCTGTATCCGTGGGTGTTATATCGGTTCACCGGGCAATAGATAGAGTTTGTGAAAGGAATCGTATAATGAATGAATCATATAATTAACGCAGTGAAATTTCAAAAAAAAAATATGGATTCCTCATTTTAAGATTTATTTATATTTAATACAAACCAAAAAATATTAGATCTACAAAGAAGATTAAGAGTTAGCTCTTGAAGTATGTTTTTAACAATTTTCAAGCTTTCTCAAAAATTTTGAATCCTTAAATTTGAATTGGATCTTTACCCAAGTCTTGCAATTGTTTGACCTCTATCGGTATCTATACGAATTGATAAATTTGAAGAATCTATCTCAACTTTTGATAAACTAACAAAGAGAGAGAATGATGGGTGGATTTTTTATGCTAGCAAGAAAGAATTGTTATCTCAATCTATCCATCTCCTATATAAAGGTATTTATAGAACTTTAGAAGACTCTAATTCAAGTATAAACGATCAATAAGTAATAAAGTGATAAGTAAAATATCGTTTCCAGGGATAATTATTGCTATTAATATCCAAGTATTAACTTTATATCAATTCAATTTTATTTAAACAATTTGAATTGACTAAGAAATCACTATTTTAAAACTAAATCTAAACTTAATAATCAAGGATTGAATTTACCGGATAGAAAAAGTTAAGATTACAACTTCCCCTAATGTTTCGTATAAATCTTTCTAACTCTCTTTCTAGTTAATTCATCAAAACAAGTTGTTAACTAAGAACTCAAAGTTATTTATCAAACTTTTTCCGATAGTTAGATAAAAATATATATCTCAACTAAATTATTATATTCCTATGTAAAATAATTTAGAATAGATTCTTTAAGTTCAGACTCTCGTAAAAGTTACACACGACATATAGGTATACTAGTCATAACCCGTGCCTGAAGGCATGATAAAATATAAATTCGAGCGTTCAAAAAATCGATCCCACAATATTTAAATTTTTTCAAAATATATGAACTACAAATTAATCAAATATTAAATGATTAAATATATGATTGAAATGCGTGATGTAATATTTTTAGGGAGAAAATATATAAATGATTAAACATATGATAGAAATGAGTGATGTGATTTGACGTTTGAGTTTGACAAAAGATTGATGGTGATGGTGATGGTTTTGAGGGAGAAAATATGACTAGAATAAAATTCAAACACACTCCTGTTTTATTATATAGATTTTTATCATATACACAAACTGAGCTATTCAATCCGAAGAAGAATTAACTAGACGCATGTCGTTATATTCTGATCTAAACCTAGAATTCATCTTCCAATTTCATCTAGGTTATCACATTAATTGTTGGTTACACAATCATATATTAAGCACAAAATATAACAAATAACTCATGTATGATCAATAAAACTAAAAACAAAAATAGATCAATTTAACTAGACATTAGGTTCCGTTGCAATCTTAATAAAGATTTAGTTCATAATATAATTGAAAAACATCATTCTCAAATTAAACAACATCTCAGAAATTTAAGAAGTAAAAGTAAGAGAAAAGAATGAAAATTTAGTTACAATCTTCACTTTCTCTCTAGCTTTCGATTCTGATTTTTTTTGCGTTGATTCCTTCGATCCTTGTCTTCAATTTTCTATCAGTCCTTAGTCTTTTTCAATGTTAGTAGCCCCCAAAATTAGTATATCTCCATCCCAACTCAAATCCTAGCATATATGTATCATTAGGGTTCAATTTCGAGTCAAAACAAATCAAAATTCGCGTCACGAACCAACACAATTGCAGCTGCGCTGAAAAGGAGTTGAATGGACAGTATGTGGGTGCAGGGGCGCTGAAAAGGCACTGGAACAACGCTGACATTTTTTTAAGCCTTCAGCTCCCTTGTTGTTTAGCCTTCAAAAATCCAACACTTACGCTTTAAATTGACCTTGTTTTCTTCCAAATTATATTGTTTGCTTCCAAATGATGATTCCTACCAAATAACATCAAAACACACAAAATAAATAAAAAAAAACATAAAATAATTGAAAACTTACAAATTTATCTAGCCAAAAGTACTAAATTCAAAGGTATAAAACTCACTCATCAAATACCCCCAAACTTAAATCTTTGCTTGTCCTCAAGCAAAATACTAAGAACAAAAAACTATAAAAATTAATCCTAAAAATCAACTACTCAAATAATGGATCAATATGAATTTGAATAATGGCCCCAAAAAGTTACTACAAATAATAATTCACGGGAAATTTCAAAACAATGCAAAATCTATCAATTCAATATACTCCTTACTTTTACCTCGGCGCATGACCCTTTAAATACATGTACATATCCGAACTGTCAAGCTAATCATCATCCAGATACATTTACGTAATCAAATGTTTCATAAGAGATACTCAATATCAATTTTATAAACTTACGTTTCACATAAACCTCCGTTTATTAAGGCAACCATACAACTAGAAGGTCCAAAGATTCTTTTTTTTTTTCGTTTGGTGAATGCATTTTATGCCCCATCTCACCTCCTATTGAGCGAGTGTGTTTTACG